AATTGCATCATTGAGCTTTGCCAGCGCACAGCTCTTGCCCGGTTCACGGTGTAAGTGACAGAGCGATAAAGTTTCTCCCATCAACTACCATGTCCTTACAGAAGAGCTTCTGATCTTCCGATATTCCAACTTTGGTTGGCATCAACATACTGTTCCGAACTGTATGGTAGTGACGATAACGCCTAACAGGCCTCATCTTCGTCGCCTATTTAGGACCTTGTAACGCGTAATGCTGGGCCTGTTGCAAGCTGATAGCCTATATGCTGCGGCTCTTCACCATATCAAAGCTTCGGGGGGTGGCAATTTGTTGCCTAAAATTGAAACGGTAATGTGTAACGCTAGTCCTGTCTCCCATGATCCTGATGTAACGCTTCGCACCCCCGTTGCTACCATACAGCTGGGGATAGTAGTTGTATAGACGAGAAATCTACGAGAAGCTAAGCCAGAGCGGGTGACGTGGTGGTAAAGACAGATAACGAAGCCGACACATCAGTAAGTCTTTTTTATCGCGTCGTTAGTAATACAGAGAGGGGTCTTCGTGGTCTTGAGATTCATCACAGACCGTGACCGGTATATCCCTTCGCATATGGTTATGCCACCACGAAGGATCCGGCCTCTAACCACTATCGTGATCTCGTTCTTCCTCAGAGTAATCATAATCTATCAAACTCTTCACGCTCCGGATGACCCGGACAGTCAATGTTAATGAGAGCGCACCTTGACGTATTACTTCCCCAGGGTCTCTTTCCTTGAGCTGCCAATGCTCTGGTGCAATGGCATTACTCTGATTCACCACCTGCTCTTCTGAAATTCGTAACGTGAATGGGTCGGCTGAAGGTAATAGCTGGATAGACCGTGCCTTTACCTTTCGACGGTGTAGTAGGGGCTACTGGCATAGGCCGAGCCGGTCTAGCGGTCACGTGAGCACTCTCGATGTAGTCATCCCTGTCGTAGCTACTTTTCCCAATCGCATCCACCGCGTTAGCAGCAGCTAGGGCTTCCTCAGCCCCTCCTGGCCCACTCCAACGGCGATGATACATGGCAAGGATGATGGCTAACGCTAAAAGTACGAGGAGGATGATTCCTCCAATGACTCCGCCAACAATACTTCCGACAGAAACAATAGTACTTCCCATTGTCAAGCCGTCATGATTATCCGACGTCAAAGCATCTGGCGGTGCCATATCCAACCCAGCTAACAGCGTGTAGGGAAAGAAAATGCGTGTCTTCATATTCAATGATGATGATTCTGAGCTGTTCCAGCCCGCATATGAAGGATTCGAGGTGATATCACGGTGAAATTCATTGTACTGACCAAGTTAGTTAGTTGAAATGTCTCCCAATCGATAAGAAACTTACCCGACTTGAACTTGAAATGTAAGCGCTTAGGCCTCGATGTAAGCCTACATATCACTGTAGGAGCCCAAATTCTGCGCTATGTATAGACTGAAGAGTAGCTCTCCCATATTTAGGGGTGCTACGTTAAACACCTGCTTTGGAGAGCTATCCTTGATTTCATCCTTATCACCGCGCCACGTATCAAGCACTCTGATCGCATCGACAATTTCTTCCCTGAGCCTGCCATACATGAATACGTTTAGTAACTCCTGACACTAAAGCAAGTACACTTACTCTGTCTCATCAAACGAATCCTTCGCCGCTGATAAAGTCGTGTTTCCGTCGAGGTAGATAGGTTTGGCCGCTACGCCTTTGCCGAGGCTTATCCGTGCACCACAATCATCGCTACTCAACGACTCGGTATCGAATGAAGAGAAACTTGAGAGATCCTCTAGAGCATTGACAATTCCTTGGGTACGTTCGGAGAACAATATTTGAATGTGTTGTAGTAAGAGGTATCACTTAGTCGCCAAGATAAACGTGTCATATGAATGATCCACTTACCCCGTCCGGCCCAGGTTCTGATGCCCAGTTTGAGTCGTCGAGAATGGCGTCCATTTGGGAATTGTTGCGGAAAACTATCGGATATGAGTAAAGTCCAAGCGCATTCAACATACTAATCTAATCCACCTTCGAAACAGGCTACAGCCATTGGAAGATGATGGCGTCCCAATCGGTTTTCCTCCAGACGCTGATTTATCCGAGTCCGTCCTTGATTGAAGGAAAAAATCAATGCCACTCGGGATATCCTCAAGAATATTTCCTTTGCCATAGTTCTTAATTGCTTGCTGAGCCGCGGTTCCATAGAGACTATATCCGAGTTTTTTGATCGGCAAAAACTGCTTTCAGACAATTTGAAGATAAACTTACAGGACGTAATCGGCTGAAGATGTCTCGCTATATACTATGAATCAGGACGCAGTATTGATGTCGAATCAACTTGAAGGATCGCGACCGACGTAGAAGCAGCGGTAAGGTTACCAGCGCCACGGAACCCGCGAAGATCGAAGTATTTTCTGGCACGTTCCATGTACCTCGTTTGATTTGATAGTCCATCAAACGCGGCAAGTTGTGCAATGAACCTGGCAGTATTTGATAGACTTGTCTTCGAGTCGTCTTGCAATCATGTCAGGGACATACTTTCAGCAAAAAGCGCAGATGTACGCACTTTGAAGCCCGAGAATCATATTTGAATCAAGCATTGCTATGGCATAGTTGTATCCAACACCTGCGCTGCGATATCCGAGTCAATTCGTTCTGATCGTGAAATGGTGATGTTTGATTCCTGGGCAGTCGAAATCAGTATTGCAGGGGTGGAGTGATTAGAGTAACACGTACAGTCCATCTAGAATCGGGAACAAGCTGTGCCTGCACTTAGGTGTTGACAGTGAGCCGTATGAGAAGAAAGGAAAGTAGCATGGATGAATGTATGATTGACTATCCCACTTCTTCATAACGGGCAAACCTGATTGAAATCATGCCGTGCATCTTGAGTAAAACCACACTTCTCCTTCACAACCCGTTGCCATTTACCACGTTATGTCGATGCTGAAGCAGTCATTGATTATAATCTGTCATAGGTGGGAAAGAATGTGCTGGAATGCGTCAAGATGAACCATTGTCTTCCCGTCATACGCTATCTCTCTCCTTCTCTTGTTTGCCTCCCTGTCGATCTCCGCCAGCTCGAACACGGCTCGCGTTAGTAGATATTTGATGATTTTGGTCAAGTTTCGATAGCCTTCAAATCTTACATACTACCATATCACTTGTGATCGTCAGGTAGTATCGTCAGTCTGGATTCTCGAGACTATAGTTATGCGAGAATCGAGGCGCCGCGACTCATGTTTGGGTTGTACTTCGACTCGTCGGGCTTGAGTTCAACGCGTGAGGATGTGGTAGTGGCAAGCATGGAGAAATTTTTTGTATGGGCAATAACTTGGAGCGAGTTGAGTGGTTGCTTAGCCCTGAAGAGTTCAAACTCCGAAGGGTCGGACACTGAATGATTTGAAGGCACGTGGTCTCGTATGTAAACCCGCTCCTTTGAAAATTGAACAACATGAACAACAACGGTGGTGAGTGTTTCTGCTTAGCTGCCTTTCATTCGATAGTCTGATATATTGATATCAAGTGTCTTTTGGCGTCATGGTGCTCAATCCTCTCGACCTGTTGTAAAGGTCCGGACATCACACTTGCGTCACACAAATTTTTTACGCACTGGGACGCTCCCACTACGTACGGCCAAACACAAGTAGGGTTATTTGCGGAGGAAGCAATGATGAATCGGTGTTTAGGGATGGATTAAGAAGGTTTGTCTTCTTCAGCTATTCGCGTTTTCCAGACTGACACGCTCTCCAGCATGTCTCGATTATCCGCCGGTGCCTCCTGAAATACTCCACCTTGACACGCGTAGAAGGCGCAAATTTCACTCGTGCTCCTTCCATGAATCTGTCTGCTTCCTGATTTTCAAATCACCAACCACCGACCTGTCTCCTCGCGATGTCCCACTTCTCCCGCCTCAATCCGTGGAATGCTCCGAAGCTACGATCCCTTTAGGTCAATCCTGCCTTTCCCCAGCATGAATTTCATCCGCTTTTAGATCGTCGAGAGGAAGTTATGGCCCTTTATGGTGGATGTATTGGGGATCATTGAAGGAACGACTCAGCATTATTGTTTTCTGCCTTGCTGTGCGCGGGTGATTTCAGTTTTGCTTTGGGTATGGGGCCAAAGAGGTTTTAGGGGAAGGAAGGGTGCAGAAGCTGTCCACACCGGGTAGTCCATCATCAACATCCTCCAAACCGGACGGGTGCAGAATATGCCCGAATCTCTCGCTTTTTCATCCAGGCCCAAGTCCACAAAATCCCCCATGGTCAATGCCATGTCATCTTGCCAAATCCCCGTATTCAATGCGGTATCTCCCTTTCAACCTTCGTCTCTCTTCTTCGCCGAACGTACACCACCTTGTCCTCGAACCTATTACGTAACCACCTTCCGAGATGAGGTGTCATTCGCAGGCCTTTTTCTTCGTCCTTGTGCGGGTTGGGAGAGGTATATCACACAAGAGGTGCATCTTGGAGAGTCAGACCTTGGGTTTCGCTGGGGTACCGCCTGTGGTTGGAGCTACGCCATGGGCAGTTGGACAAAGTCTCTACCATGCAACACCTTCCTCTTCTGCAACGCCCTACGCCCCTCCCTTTCTAGGCTCAGGCGTAATCGACTCATATCCATCTCATGATCACTCTACATTGTTCCGTCCTTTTCGTGAAGCGCGCTTCATCAGCAACGCCGTTTACCACTCGCTCGTTACTACCTCTTCATCTCCCACCTTACCCATGTTTTGCTGTATCCGTCCTCTGCATCCTGCATTCACCTTGATAGATCTCGGAGGAAACCACCTCTGTCTTCTAGCGGGGTTGTACCAACGCGAGCCTAGCGAGTGCTGTGTCGGAACGAAGCGCTCTTCGGCAGTGGGACTAGTGGATGTCGGGATCTGGTGTGCGTCTAGGCGAAGAAGGATACCAGGCGGCTGGACGAGCAAAAATGAAACACGGACAAAAATAATCACTGCCTTTGGTTGGAATCCTAATGCATGATATCTGTGACAAACACCGTTGGTGAAGTGGTTATCATGCTTGCCTTCCACAATAATGATTTCTCGTTGAGCAAGCGGCTCGTGTTCGATTCCCGAACGGTGTATTCAGTGACACCAGATTTTTCGGCTGCGACCTTGTACCGGTCGTGCTTCGAGAACCCGAGGTTTGATGACGCGTGGCTTGATCAACCCTTTTTCCTGGACCACGACGACGATGACACCAAGGTGTGTATCTTTTTTGAGTTTCTTTCATCTTAATCGTCTGATATCTCCACGAAAAGGCTTTATATGACTGGTATTGGCCAAATCATGAACGTCGTCTTGGGAGCTCGTCGGATATTGACATGATTCTTCCTGGTTCACTGTCGTTGCTCTGGGTTTGTCTCCGTCGCTAGGATGGGTTGAAGAGGTCAATAAGGGAATACCTTGGGGTAGAGTGTTTGGTTTGGTCTGGTATTTTTGGTTCGTCTTTATCTCTGATCCTCGTAGTCGTTGCTGTTGCTGAGACCACTTTTTTGCTACTATCGTCTTCAGAAACCAAAATTCGACATCTTTTGCCTTCAAGATCAGCCACAGAAGACCATCCCGAGCCCTCGTCTCACCTATCCTTTCGCCGCATCGCGCCGTCGTAGATGTCTACGTTTGGACATGACGTTTCCTCTACCCAGTTCGCCGGTATCGCATCCTTTCACGTCGCCTTATCTCTTTGGCCTTCAACCACATCCATACCCCTCACTCTACGTTTCACTATTACTCGTCGCGACGTAACGGACACAACCAGAAAGAACCGAAAGCTGTCCTCTCCAGCGAATAGGGACGAACCTCGCTGTGTACCCTATACTCACGATATTCTTGGGAACCTCAGTACCCTGTACCTTCAAGCTGCTTACGGATTGATGTGGTTCGACGTGTTGCCTTGGAGTGTAGGACCTGGTGGTGATAGGAGCCTAGAGAGAAGTTCTACCGCCTAAGGCACAGCGGAACCAACCACAAATCATGCACTCGCCTTCCCCAAGCACATTACTCTCTGCTTCAATACCGGAAGCGATATACTGGTCTGGTTCCATTCAGTTTCGCCTCCCAGAACACCCTGTCCTCGAACTCGGTTACGTAACCACCTTCTGATGTCAGGTGTCACTCGCGGGACACTCACCATTGCCTTTGATGCGCCGTAATCCTCTAGGTGACCACCCCTCGACGTAGTGTGGCAACCTTGGCTAGGCGAGGGACGGTATAAGCGGCAGGTGAATGTTTCATTGAGGCTGTTGATGTTATGGACGTGGCGATGACAAGGTTGTCAGGCGGTACTTTCTCAGACGACGGACGCCCTTGACAATTGTTCGCATAACCAGTTCCACAACGTTCTTCGTATACCTGCTTATCGAGCACTGCGTACCTGATTTCAAAATTAACGTCACCCTTGGTCGCCCTCGAACTCCTTCCTGGGGATTAAATCACATTATCATCCCGCTGTAACTCGATAAACCTCTCCTCGACCCCACATGGTGCAACGTTTCCACTGCGATCGCATTATATCATGACTTCCTTTGCACCTCTGTCCCTTACCCATGCCCTCATTCGTTGGATTCATTGGTTTCTTCCTTTAGCAGCGCGATGGCTACGTGAACCTGTATTTATAGAAAAATGAATAGAAGCCTCTCTTGTTGTCCTCATATCCTCCTCCTGGTATGGCTCCTTCGCCGTCCCGAGACGCATTGAAAGCAAGCGCAAGATGACAATGTGGTCACCGGTCACCTAGTCATGATCTTTCAATCGGCGACACTATGCTGACATGGACACCATCAGAGCGTCCCGGTGAGATAAGCGTACTCCTGAGTTAACTTGCTACCTTCGGTGAGCACTTTGTCCCACTCTCGTAACAAGGTACCATCTGATGATGTATGAAGTGGTAGATGCGGTACCAGAATTGAATTTTTCGTTCCCGCAGAGCGGGTGATAGTTGCATAGCTTTTCCCGGATGACTTCGACGTATGCTCACCGTATTTGTACTCCCCGAACCTGTCTCTAGTACTGAAGGTCAGCAATCTCAGTAAATGCCAGGTTCACGTTGTCTTACACGTTCACGTTAAAGGTGGCGAGCGCGAAAGTCATGTAATTCGGGCCAACTTGCACTGGTTCTTCACCCGCGGGAGAGGTCAACAATGCAAGGATCAAAGTAGTCGGCGCCATGTATGTACACGATGATTAAAATCAATCAAATGTTCATCAATCATCCTTTCGCAGTTTGATCTTAACCAGTGATACCTTTAAGAGGAATGATCACAGATGACAACGGTTAGCACCTCCAACTCCCGACCCTTTGTGGCGTGTAAGCTGTTTACTTAGCCCTTTCCCTGAAGCTGACAACAGATAGAAACCTAGCGTTACGATAACCCAGAAACAGAGGATAGATATTGCCGCAAATGCGCTGGACGCTGTTGTCGCGACGTTGGACTCAGAGTTACTGCTTTCCGGTATGTGATCAATTCTGTTTGTCAAGAAAAGTGCTTATGGGACTAGGAACCAACGACACCCTCGTAATGACTGCGCAGTTATTTACTCATCTCTCGCTTTTCGACGAGTTGTCAAATCAGACCCGGTACAAAGACAAAGTCATGGACTATTTTCAGCTCCGTGGTTATGGGGGCCTTGCCAACGTATCCGGTACAGTGTAAGTGCCTGACAAACTGCGTACATTGAACAAAATTTCTAATTGTGGATTGGCATTCAAACTAGACGGGGTGTTGCTGAACCTTTCACAAATGTAGGTCGATGAGTATCCCGTAATTAGTCAAAATACTCACAAGTATAATCACAGGTCGACTATTTTCTGTGTGTCACACAACTTCATACCACTAACAAAAAAGAGTTGACCTTCCACATCAGCTTGTATGGAATATCTGCGCTCCAAGCGCAATAATCATATGGCGGGTCCATTTACAACAATGCCTCCGTAATAGGATCAGCCCGGATTCCTGACCAACATTCTACCAATCTCGTTGACGCGGTGTGCCTCAATTCGTCTATCCTGAGTTCATTCATGGGTGGCGCTCTAGTAGACGGCTTTGGGGTGTGTCAACAAAGGCTTTTTGGCATGAGATCTGTAGCTGGGCTGATATACATAGAACACACATAATCCGGAAACCCGTCCTTCAAGACTTACACAAACTCGTAAGCATCTGCAATACGCTGTAATCCTCCAGTATAGTACTCAGAGCTTATCTAGGCTATGGTTAAGGTATTTACATGTTGCAGATCTTTGAAATCTTTTTCAGAAGGAGAGACAGGTTGAATGCTCTGGATTACGCGCAGTCATTCCTACCTACTCACTCGATCTACGCCGAGGACTCAGCACATATTCTCGGCAAACTTGATAATGGCGCGCGTGATCTGGGCTTGGAAAAGGGCTGTGAGAGCACCACCACAGCAACGGACCCCCATGAAGGCGTGCTGGCACTATGCCTTGAAGGGCTTTCCATATATTCCCAAGCGACGAATAAATTCGAAGAACAAAGGTAGAAACCCTGATTTCGAATTCAGCTCCCCTCTACTCAGTACTTACGGTGTCAATTTAGATCACGCGAGATGATCTTCAGCACTGTGCACTCCTGGAGGGAGGAGAAGTTTCCACGTAAGAACCGTCGACATTGCCCCAGGCTACCTGCTGATATGAAGGATAAAGACCTCGCTTATCCAGGAGAGAGCCCTGGTTCATTTGAATTTCTTAGTAACTTGGCTTCGGCATATCGACGTCTTCCTTTCGAAGACATGCGTTTATATCTTGGGGGCTTCATTTCAACTCAGGTCTGTGCGGTCTCCTTGAAAGGTCAATCGCCTGACAATTTCTGCTAGTACAACGCCGTTGTTGACAATATCACCTCTACAAATAATTTCTATGGCAACTGGCCCAATCCAGGTACCTCGCTACAGAGGCAACTATCCAACTGCTATACACTGGTTGCAGGACTCAGTCTTCCCGAAGTTTCGCAATCTGACCCCACAACTTCTCCAACTATAACTTCATCATCGTCTCCCACTTCTGACGAGGTCTTTGGGAACCAGGAAATCAATTTGGGGCTATTGCGGGTGGGTTGATTGCAGGGGTGATTACAGTGGGGCTGACACTCTTGGCCTATACTTTCCACGTTCGTCGCCGGCGAAAGCGGCAACAGCAGTTCATGGCCCCTCCGAGCATCGAGCCTTTCACTTTACACGTGGAAGATAAAGGTCAGGATTCTGCGCAATCTCAGCAGCGTCTCGGAGGCAAGCATTCATCAGATAATAATCCAGGAGGTATGTTTTTCTCATTGTTACATCTTTCCTAGTAACTCGGTCTCATTTGACTGCTTTCAGATCCCGAGGGATCAATCGAGCAGCATGAGAGACATGAGGACAGCGGTTGGCGACCTGATCCCCGATTGCCACCGACTTACGAAGACGCCGTTTGAGACGTGGATTTAACGTGTGCAAGCACTGAACTTTACGGACCGTTGGGTTGTGCACAACCTTCAATATCTTCGTTGATTATAACCTCGGATGTCAAAAAATATGTACTTGTGCGAAATGGGCATATCTTGCGGCGATCCGAGTCAGGGAGACCACAATGATGGTGGTTTCGCATAAAACAATAGTTGAACGCTAGCGCTGGATTCAGCCGTGTATGTGATGACGTCAGAAGCGCTCTTGAATACCACGTGGTCTGGCCCAAGGTTTCTCTTGAACCACTATGATGATGCAGAGGTCAAAAGGTGACCTTTCCCTGTTCAAATGCTGCTAATTGTTCTTAAGAAAGGGCAGAAGGGGCAGAATATCGAGATCATAGGGCGTGGAATAAAATTCTTGGGTATTTTGGTTCGTCTCTGGCAGACTTTTGCCCCTTGGTCCTTTAGATTTACTCATGATTTAGAAAACTTCGAGGTCCAGTGGAATTCAAAGCTTCCCTGCTCCCACTATCGGCTACCTAAAAACGTCCAGAAGACTTGGATCACCGTCGTCACACGGTACACCTGGATCCCTTAGCGGCTACTACGTCTTCGTATCGCAGACATACTGGGTTGGAGATAGGGTTACTCCATGCAATCTCCTTTCACCAGTTCTCGTCACA